TGCTTTGCTTTGCTTTGCTTTGCCTTGCCTTGCCATCCTTCTTCTTCTTCTCCTTCTGCTTTTTCCAGCTTGCAAGGCAGGCATTCCTTCCCCTGAAGAGCTGGCCCAGGTTGCAGCCCTTGCTCCAGGAAGATGGGCAGCCTTTGGCTTTGGCTTTGGCTCTGGCTCTTGCTGGCCTCTTGGCTGGCAGAAGGAGCCAGGAAGGGCAGGGACAACATCCTCCTCATCCTCACCGATGACCAGGACCTGGAGCTCGGAGGGATGGTAAGCAAGGCCTGCTGGCATGGCTCAGGAAACTCTCCTTTGGCAACCTTGGCAAGCCTGGCATGCCCCTTTCCTATGATCTTTTGCAACACTTGCATCCTGCTTTTTATTTGGCCTTTGGCAACACTTGCACACTGCTTTTTATTTCACTTTTGAAACTTTTGTACACCACCCATCATTTGTCTTTTTCAAAGGCTTGCAAACTGCTTTCATTCTTCTTTTGCAACAGTTGCATACCACTTTTGTTTAACTTTGGCAACACTTGCATCCTGCTTTTTATTTGACCTTTGGCAACACTTGCACACTGCTTTTTATTTCGCTTTTGAAACATTTGGATGCCACCCCCTTTATTCATCCTTTTGAAACACTTACAAACTGCTTTCATTCAAGTTTTGCAACAGTTGCATTCCACTTTTGTTTAGCTTTTGCAACACTTGTATATTGCTTTTTATTTTACTTTTTGTAGCACTTACATCCTGCTTTTATTTTGTTTTTGAGACATTTGTATACCACCCTTTATTCGTCTTTTGAAACACTTGCAAACTGCTTTCATTCATGGTAGAATTCAAAGACATAGCCTTGTTAGTCTGTAGAATCAATACGTAGAGAGAGATCTTGTAGCAGCATTGAGACTCACTGAAAGAAAGAAGTTGGCAGCAGGAGCTTTCTAGATTTAAATCTACTTCCTCAGATGCTTTTGATGGAGTGGAAGCCAGAGATAGACCTATATATGAGAAATGCATCTGAGGAAGTAGAGTGAAGTCTTCCGACAGCTCATGCTGCCAATTTCTTTCTTTCAGATAGTCTCAAAGGTGCTACAAAATCTCTCTACATACTGCTTTCATTCATCTTTTGCAACAGTTACATGCCACTTTTGTTTAGCTTTTGCAACACTTGTATATTGCTTTTATTTTATCTTTTGCAGCACTTGCATACCACTTTTATTTATCTTTTGAAACACTTGCATACCACTTTTATTTATCCTTTGGAACACTTGCATATCGCTTTTCATTTATCTTTTGAAACACTTTTATACCACATTTCATTTAGCTTTTGAAACATTTGCATACTGCTTTTATTTAGCCTTTGAAACAGGATACTGCTTTTCCAAGCAAATCTTTTTGGAGGCAGTGTCAGAATCATAACGCCCTCTGCACGATGGGAAACATTATGATTATTACTGTATTTATTTGTATCCTGCTTTTCCCCCAAAATCATGTTCATGATAACCAAAGACAAACTCTACTTCCCAAAATGGAAATTAAAGCAACAGTTTGCAGGGGAGGGGGGAAATGCTGTCTGCAAAGTGACGCTTGTCCCACATTTGAGTAGGTGGCAGAAATGGCAAAGGAAGGCGTGGAAGTCATGGGACTTTCATGTTCCTCTCTATCATGTGTTGTTGTTGTCATTGTGTGCCTTCAAGTAATTTCCAACTTGTGACACCTCTGAGGTTTTCTCAGCAACATTTGTTTAGAGTTGGTTGTCCATTGCCTTCCACTGAGGCTGAGAGAGTGTAGTTTGCCAGAGACAAGGGGTGAAGTGGGGATTTGAACCCGGGTCTCCCAGGGTTGTTGAGTCCAACACTCAAATCATTGCACTGTGTTGGCTCTCTTACAATTCACTTACTCCTAATGCCTGAACAAGCGTAATGATTTTTTAATGACTTTTGCACCAGATTATTCAGCTGGAAGGCCAGAAGCTGGAAGGGCTTTTTCTTCATTTCTGGGAATGAATTCCACAAATGGCCTGTAATTCATTTCCTGGAGAGATCTGACAAGGTATTCCTATAGTACAAAGCAGGGAATAGAGTCTGCATTTTTCAAACCAGAGATCTCCCCTAACTTTTTCGATAGTTTCTTCTTTTTTATTATTAAGTTAATAATTTCAGACTACAGGAATTCAGAGAGTTACTGAGCAACACATCTCATGTTCCCATTGTGGGAGAAAGATGGGATATAAATCCTGGAAATCCTGGAAATAAATAAAAATAAAATAAGGAAATACAATCAGAAGGAATGACTGCCAATCCACAATGGCAGACTTTCATGGTGTGCCAACTTGTACCAGCAACCATTATGCTTTAACATTGATCTGTTTTGAAGCCTTTTCTTACTTATTAAGCAAGGGTTTATATATTAATCAGCCTACGACTTTACACTTCTAGCCTACGACTTTACACTTCTGAAACATATACATTAGTTTTTCCATTGCATCTTTAAAAAACACAAACCAACAAGAAATACCAAGCAAATACAGTATAACCCTCTATCATTACATTAGCTTATTTGCTCTTTTCACTCTTGTAATCATCCTTGTATTCCCTTTTACTAAAAATATATAAATCCTAGGTAGCTAAATTACTTCCTCCTTGTTTTTGCTGCTGTCTTCCATATCGCATCAAGACTCTTCATTATATAATTTCCTAAGTCTGTTACTTGTAGGCGCTATCCATAAATCACTATTTTTCAATGTACAAATTCATGTCTTTGACCATTTTTTGGAATATTAAGCAAGGATTAACCAAAGGCAGGGTGACAGATGTCATAACCACAGAGGAACAAAGCATTGCAAAATGTAGGGGAATTCAAGAAAAATGTAGGACACTACCAAATAAAGGCTATACAGACTAATATAAATGTAAATTCGTGCTTCTTAGCCATGCTCAAGATGGAGGACATTTTGGAATTCCTCCTGTTTTCCATCTGCTACAGTTAAGGAGAAGGCAAGTGTATGAACATGCATTTGCTGTGAATCAGTATTTGTCCAAAATGTTTGACTGAAAGACCAATGTTTTGCTGTCAGGATGGCAAACAAAACTCCTGAGTCCTAGGTGATATCTTGAGATCTTTATCTTTCTGCTCCATGTTTGTCCTCTGGTAGGCTCAGTCAAAGGTCGAGCTTAGTTATACACTCCGAAAGCTTGGTGTTGTTGAATAAAACACTAAAACCAATTTAAAAGATATAATTAAAATATTGAAAAGTAATTTTAAAATTATTTTAATTGGTTTTAGTAGGTATTTTTAAAACAATAAACTCTTTAATTCTATGACACCAAGCCTCAAGGAATGACTTAGGGAGTTACTGTAGTGTAGTGTAGTGGTTTGAGCATTGGACTATGACTCTGGGAACCAGGGTTCAAATCCCAGCTCGGCCCTATAAACACACTCAGTGACCTTGGGAAAGTCACACTCTCTCGGCCTCAGAGGATGGCAACGGCAACCTCCCTCTGAAGAAACTTGCCAAGAAAACCCTATGATAGGTTCGCCTTAGGTTCGCTTTAGGGCTGGAAATGACTTCAAGGCACACAACAACACTATCCTATGACTTAGTGCAGTGGTTTGAGCATTGGACTATGAATCTGGAGACCAGGGTTGGATTCCCAGCTCAGCCATGAAACCTGCTGGGTGACCTTGGGGCAAGTCACACTCTCTCAGCCTCAGAGGATGGCAATGGCAAACCATCTCTGAAAAAACCTGCCAAGAAAACCCTGTGATAGGTTGGCCTTAGGATAGCCATAAGTCAGAAATAACTTGAAGGCACACAACAACAGCAAAAGTTTTTTTGTTTTTTTTTACAAACCCAATACAATTAAAACTGTTCTGCAAAGAGACGTTTTGAAGTCTGAAACCTCTGTAGAGCCAAAGTTTCTTCATTTTGGCTTTAAGCAATGCTTCTGCAAATGACTGATGGGTGGTGGAGCTGTTATGTTTTCTATCAGTTGGTTTTCAAGGCTGCTGCCCTATGTAACTGTTGGTTTCTTTCAATTTTCAGACCCCCATGAAGAAGACGCAGTCACTCATCGGTCAGTTGGGTGCCTCTTTTGCCAACGCAGTAAGTTTTCCAGATAATGCCACTCAGGGTTGCTTCTGAGAGCTGAGGTCCAAAAACCCCTGGAAGGCCAGAGTTTGGAAATTACTGTTCTAGATGCTGCTGGACTCTAGTTCCTATCATCCTTGGCCATTGGCCATGCTGGCTGGAACTGATGGGGTCTTTCCCACTCTTTTTAGCCTTTCCACGTTAAAATGGTTCTCCAAGCAGTAGCTGTTTGGATTTTGGTTTGGGGAGGTGATTGGAACAGTCCCAAAGGACGGAAGAGAGATTAATTTGGGTAAGAAATATGTACTGACATCTTGGCTTTCAGTTTGCAGTCACTCCGCTGTGTTGTCCCAGTCGCAGCAGCATCCTGACCGGTTGTTACCCTCACAACCATCTGGTGAGGAACAACTCCTTGGAGGGCAACTGCAGCAGCCCGGTCTGGCAGAAATTTCAGGAGCCCTATACCTTCCCGGTATATTTGCAAAAGCAAGGCTACCAGACCTTCTATGCGGGCAAATACCTCAATCAGGTAAAGAGGGAATCCTGCTGTTACCTGGCTGCTCATTGTATAAATAAGTGATGCATGTGTGTCTTTCTTTCTTTCTTTCTTTCTTTCTTTCTTTCTTTCTTTCTTTCTTTCTTTCTTTCTTTCTTTCTCTTTCTCTTTCTGCCATGCCCTCAGTCACACCTTGCTTCTTAAGTTCATACCTGTACCTGCTGCGTTTTAAATGACGTTCTTTCCTTTTCTAGTATGGAGACCCTAAAGCAGGAGGCGTTCAGCACATCCCTTTGGGATGGACCTATTGGCTTGGCCTGGTGAGTAAGCCTGCCTTTGCACTTTCTTCCTTGATCTTCCTTAGTAGTAGTGTTCCAGGTCTGGGAGGTTTTCTGCTAGTATTATGGTGTCACCTGCGTATCTCAGATGGTTGATATTCCTTCCTTCTGTTTCCACTCCTCCTCCTTCTGTGTCCAAGCCTACTCAAGTGAGATCCATGTTTAATGAAGAATCAGGGTCTTGGAAAGGACTAAGTTCCCAGAATTTCTCCGTCAGGATGGCCAGTGAGGGATTCTAGCAGTTGTGGCCTAAAAAGTTAATTTTTCCAAGCTCTGCTAGAAATGTTGGAAATTGTCTTATACTGGAAATTGTCTTATATGGTGGGCTCTCCACATTCACTGTGGTTAGGGGCACAGGACCCCCGTGAACATGAGGAGAAAGAAAAACCCACAAATAAAAACTACTTTTTTTTAACCTGAGAGTACACCTCTCTAGGAATCTCTAGGTCTTCCATTGCAACTCTATAACCAACATCTGGCAGAGGTTGACCACTGAATTGCATTGGAGGACTTAACAAATGCCCAGAGAAGTGTTTTCTCTGAGAATCTCTAGATGCTGCAGTATGACTCTATGGTCAATTTCTGGCAGAGTTGCGCTGGAGGATTTGACTATTCACGGATTTGATTAATAAGGTTTCTCTAGGAATCGCTTTCCTAGAGAAACCTTATTAATCAAATCCGTGAATAGTCAAATCCACAAAAGTGAAAGCTGCAAATGTGGACTGTACTGTTGTTCAGCCTCGCTCAGTCTCATTTTATACTGGCTCAGACTAATTTGTCCAGATAGCTCAGTCTTTTCACTTAGGATGCATCTTGTTGCTGTGTGCCTTCAAGTTATTTATGACTTATGGCAACCTTAAGATGAATCTATCTGGGGCTGAGAGTATGTGACTTTCCCAGTGTCGCCCAGTGGAGTTTCCATGGCTGAATGGGGATTCAAACCCTGGTCTCCAAAGTCATAGTCCAACACTCAAGCCACTACATTACGCCGGTTCTCAGGGGTGCATCTACACTGTAGAAATAATGCACTTTGACAGCACTTTTAACTGCCATGGCTCCATCCTACAGAATCCTGGGATTTGTCATTTTGTTTGGCACCAGCACTCTTTTTTTTTTTAAAAAAAAATATTTTATTTATATATCATATACACAAACCTAAAAAAGCACACACAGATAGCTAAATACATCAAACATATCCTAAACAATACTACAAACTTCCATGTAGTTCCTTTGACAGCAAATCCCTTATTTGTCTACATTTTTACAACTTCATTCCTTTCTTTATTCATCATCTATATAGCCTATACTCTTCCAGAAATTCAAATTCTAAGTAGTAAATAAAGTAGATGCATTTCTTCAAATATTTATATATTCTGTCTTTTACTGTTCTTATCATTTCCTAAATATAGTTTCTTAAGATTCTCTTTGGCACAGTCTCCTGTTGGCGGAAGGGCAGGCTAGAAATCGACTCAAATAAAAATAAAAAGGGAATAAACTTCCAGAGAGCCTTTGTGCATGTTGTTACAGGTGGGGAATTCCAAATATTACAACTACACCCTTTCGGCCAATGGACGCGAGGAGAAACACGGGGACTTATACGAAGAAGATTATCTCACGGACCTCATTGTGAGTCCTTCTGTGTCCTCTTCCTTTTAGCCTTTTAGCCTTTGAGCTAGGATGATGGAGATATAAAAATGAAGTCCGTCCGTCGAAGGTAGCGAGATAATTCTGGTTATTTAAGGAGTAGTTGAGGCATATTTTCCAGTTATAGGAAAGAAGGTACTGAAAAGCATCTTGAAAGAAGAAAATGTTAAGGAGACAAGCTCCATGGGCTCTGAGATGGTCAACGGTTTATTCCTTTTTTTAAAAAAAGCAACGCGTTGGGCTTTTTAAAAAAAGGAATAAACCGTTGACCATCTCAGAGCCCATAGAGCTTGTCTCTTTAATATTTTCTATATTGTCCACTCATATCAATATCCCTTGTGAAGGACAGACCCAACATATTTTCCGTCTTCCTTACACCCTGCCTTGAATTACGCAGCCTTGGGTTTAGTTTTGCCAAAGGAGACCCTCGTTTTTATCTGGTATGCCGTGATAACTTTTCTTTCGTTCAACAATAAAAGTTATCTCTCTGTTCCCGCTGCCAAAAGTGGCACCTCTCTCAAGCACTGTGTTTTTTAATTCAAGGTTTGCGATCATCCTTGAATGCTTTGGAAACGTCTGCAAGGATGTCTGCTTGCTTGCATAGTTGTAAATTTCCATTACACTGGACTATCTCAGAGGCATAATACATAATACTATCAGAGGCATAATACAGGTTGAGTCTCCCTTATCTGAAATGTTTGGGACCAGGAGTGTTTTGGAATTTGGAATATTTGCATACACACAAAAAGAGATCTTGCAGATCGGACCCAACTCTAAACATGAAATTCATTTGTGTTTCCTATACACCTTATAAACATAGCCTGAAGGTAATTTTATACATAATATTTTAATTTTGTGCAAGAGAGTGCAGCAGAAAGCAAAGGTGGCACTCTCTCAGCCACCCATGTGGACAATTTTGGAATATTTTGGATTTCAAATTTTGGAATTCCTGAAAAGGGAGACTCAACTTTTATGTGTAAGTGGGATGAGCAATTGCAGCAGATCTTAATGTTCATAGGATCCTCTGGGGTCACATAGATAGCTGAAAATGTAAAAAAAACACCCAAAAACAAGATGTGGCTAGAAGTATATTTCTGATTTTGAAATGTTAAAGATTGAAGGACAACGGCAACCTATTTAAAAGGTAAATTGTTGCTCTTGAAGGCTTCCAGGAAGGGGATTTTTTCCCATTCTTTCTCTTGTCTATCTATCTATGTCTCTTTTTTTAAGGCCAGTAAAATAGGCTAGAAGTGTTGAAGGCCCCAAAAACTGCATCTGGAGAGCCTCATACACCTCTGGACTGCATTTTGCCCACCCCTGGTCCATTTCTCCACCTTCTTGCACTTTCCAACTGTACATCTGTCACCTGGCCAAGATCTTTTCCATGAGCATTTGCATGGTATAAATGCATGCTCAAGTAGGACAGGTTTTTAAATTGTGCTGGGGTAATTTAAACCAGTTTGGAGAGTAGAAATGGAAAGTCTGTCTTAATTCTGGGACTCCGAGGAAATACTTTGGGGTGAGATAAACATCATGTAGGTCTCCAAAATAAAATTGGAAAGCACAGGTACAAAACCCAGGACTTCCATTGGGGTTTTTAATTCATCTGGAGGTGGCCTTAATGTAACATGTAGTGGTCATTCCTACCCCTTCTGTGTCGCTCTGTGTGTCCTATATACAAGGCGATTCAAAAAGAATGGTGCAAAACCGAATACGGACAGCTTTACTCCATTCCTTTTGAATCACTGTACACACACGCGCGCTCATAGCATTACTGTCTGAGTCACTCTGCATCTTCTCCCATTATCTGCATCTTTCTCCTTCCACTCCACCTCCCATCCTCCCCTGCTGCAGACCAACCGGAGCCTGGCGTTCCTGCAGAAGCTTTCCCGGCCTCCGTTTCTCATGGTGCTAGCCCCTCCGGCCGCTCACTCCCCATGGACTGCGGCCCCCCACTACAGGTCAGCCTACAGCACCGTCAAAGCCCCCCGTAATGGGAGCTTCAACGTCTATGGGAAGGTAGGTACCTTCACAATCCTGGATATAGAATTGACTGTTTAACTGGATAGCCATGTGCCGGCTTCTGTGCAGATGCCT